TCTCTCTCTCTCTCTCTCTCTCTCTCTCTCTCTCTCTCTCTCTCTCTCTCTTCCCATGATCGCAAAGACAAAAGTCAAAACTACAAAATAGAGAACAGTGCTCTTCGACTTGATAGCAGATCCAACCTTTGCGCCTTTGGGACTGTTCCCCTGAAAGAACCCTCGCTCGGGGCCGACTCCACCTTTATCCTTCACAATCTCCTCCTCGTACTCAAGGCTAACGTCGGTCTCTCTGCCTCCAGGGCCACCGCCTAGTGAAAGAGAGAGTTCGCGTTCAGCATAATTATTATTCTGGGTAAAAAAGGGTTTCTGGGTTTAAAAAATGGGCTAGATCTAAACATTAGTTGTGTTCATTCTTTCTGTCACAAGAGTAAGTTGATGATAAAACGCATTAGTATTTCTCAATAAACTATAATGTGTGTGTGCGTGTGGCAAGGCGGAGGTGGGGGCGGGGATGGAGGCATTACAAATTTGAACTATCTGAAAGGCCCTCTCTCCCACCCCCACCCCCTAACCCCACCGCAAACCGCCTCTTCCCTTTCCACAAAAACTCCAACAAACCAAACCCACAGAAACATCCAAAACTATTAAAAGATAGAGTTTCTTCGGCTGGTAATCACTGTGTCATCCTTCGGAGTTTTGGGCTACCACCATAGCAAGGCCGTCTCCTATTCCAGTTTACACGTAGATGTCCGTATAACTACGCTTTCAGACAGATCTGAGTCCGTACCTGTCCTTCCGTCACACGCGCGGATCTATTTTCATTCTTATCTCACCTGCTGCTAGTGTTCAGACCCAAGTCCCGCGTTCGCGCCTAGAAGGGAGTTGTCTTTAGTCCAGTGCGGGTAGGAATTTTAAGTAATCTGGACTGTATTGCTTTCGTCCGTGTAGTTAGCTTTACGGCGACCATAATACATTTTTTATTTCTTCTTTCAAGTTTCCCGAATTGTGGCCAGCTCAGTCAGGCTAATTTTTTCGAACACATCTTGAAATGGATAATTTCGAAAATGTATTCCTACACCTGGTCAAATTTTGATTTAAAAAACCGACGACATGTGATAGAATTTGACCTTTGTTCCTCAAGACCCGAGAAATTACACGATCTTTGACGTGACCTCAATTTCCCCAGGCGAAGTGTTTGTGTGTGTGTGTGTGTGTGTGTGTGTGTGTGTGTGTGTGTGTGTGTGTGTGTGTGTGTGTGTGTGTTTTACTTTGAAAGGGGGGGGGGGTTATTTCCGTCCAACTTCATGCTTCACTCTAGCAAGATCTGTATTCTATGCTTTCAATTTTTCTTCTACCACTTGGAAGACTTCCAGACTTTTGGAAAACCTTATCGGCCTATAAGGACAGCCGTGCCCTCAGGGCAGACAGTCAGAAACAAACAGAAGTAACAGAAGGATGAGAAAGTTTGAACTTTGAGGACCCCCCATACACACACACACACACCCAAATAACCCTTTTTCCTTCCTCACTCCCCTTTTTAAAAAAATATACACGTAATAAAAACGCGCGCTCACACACAGCCAAGGGGCTTTTATTTTACGTTTATTAGTTCGTGATATTACCACGATTGAACTAACATTTTAAAATAGTATGATGGGTGTACTATACTTTTTGGTATGCACAGGCTTAGTTATAATATTGAGTGCCATCATCACGTCACATACATTTTATTGTTGTCACATACTGCAGAGACGCAACCATCTAAGGAGCAGTGCTTACAACTAATATACATGATGGTGTATATAATACTTTTCAATGAATAAACCCTTACACCTGGGAGCTTACCTATGACCCCTTCCTTGAGGCTAATTGGATATTCTGTGAATATAGAACAAAGAAGGGAAATTTAATTTAGATCAAGGTCGTTAGCTTTCTGAAAAAAAAAATTGTTATTCTTGAAAGCACACAATGATCACGTTTTCTTATTGTGTCTTATCTTGAAGAAAAAACAAGCAACAAAACAATATGTGCAATAACAATCACAATCAACTCAACAACAACAGTTTTAAAAATGCACTACCAGCTGCAGCAGCAACAGCAACAGCAACAGCAGCAGCAGCAGCAGCAGCAGCAGCAGCAGCAACAACAACAACAACAATAACAAACGTTGTCCCAGCCAAATAGCCAAATAGGAGAAGTAACTGACATCTCTAGAAATTTATTGATGTTCAACTGTCGAAGCAGTACATGTACTGCCTTCGATATTGTATCTCGATCTAATGTGATAATTTCGTTCTCTTTACCTTTTTTAAGCAGCTAGAATAATTGGATTTACCCTGGTCACTGCTATAAATAAATAAGGCAAGAATGCCCCATCCTCCCACGTCAGTGATGTAATTATAGCTAGCAGATAACAATCTAATAATTCAATCTAGATCTAGTCACAGATCATCACTGAAAGAATACACACATTTTTTTAAAAGTTCTTAATAGTGCAGAAGAAAGACTGTTGTTTTTGTTTGCTGGTTTGTTTGTTTGTTTGTTTTTTGTGTTGTTGTTGTTGGGTTTTTTTTTTTGGGGGGGGGGGTTATTTTTAGTAATGTTTTCCGGTGCTCGCAACTGCATAAGGTCATATAAGCGCCGAGGGCGAATGTCAACAGAGAAGTCCAAACGGGGAATCAGGCTTACTGTGCTCACCTCTCTAGCCTCAACAGCACGAAGTCAGTATCAAGGCACCCAGGAAATAGCAGTTAACATTAGAGAGACAAACATACAAAAGCAGTAGGCCTAGAGGAAAAATGACGATAATAAGGATGAGGAAAGAAAAATCAGCAGTTCCCCCTGTGTTGTTGCGGCACAGTATGAGCATGGCATTGATAATCAGCCCTTTTATAATTCTACTGTCCAAAAGAATACGTTAGCCTTATATCCCCCCCCCCCACCCCTTTTAGGAATGGCTTAAAGACAACTTCAGTCTTTGCACGTAAAAGATGTAAAATTCAATCCATGATTTCTAATGGGGAAATCGATTTGAGTGTCTTCTTTTTCTGCGACTATTATTACATGTATTGGGATGCTGTGTATCCTTCGTCTAGTTGGCCTTGACACTGACAGGCAGGTTGAAGCAGCCTGTCTCATCATAAACGATCTGAATTATGTCAATAAGCCTTATTTAATAAGTGACTTATGATAAAAGTGTAACAGTAACATTGTTACGATCATTTAAACTAACATTCAGAGAGATTTTCCAGAGGCACTTGGCGAATTTCATTTCGGGAATGCTCTTCCGGTGTCACTTAAATTGCGTAGAGTATTTAGAAGAATAAAGGTGGAAAGGGGGGGGGGGTGAGTAGGTACTTCCCTCTACCTTTAGCATGGCATTGAAAGTGAAAGCTAGGAATTGACAACTTTTATGCTTTGCATTATCAAATTTTTAAAAGTTTCACACATTGATATAAACGTTTTTAAAAACGTTTCAAAAGCGGCTCTTACTTACACTGGCTAAACAATCTACATGGGTGACGCTGTTATTATTTTAAATGATCCTTTGTTTTGATGGTATAACGCCATTGTAGGTCGCCGAAGTATGACGTTGTTTATATAATATGACGTCACCACATCAAATTGTTTTGTTCAGCACGAGTGCTAAACGCGAAGACCGGAAAACCAGAGTCTACGTTGAGACCACC